GCCTCCTCCTCCTCCGCCGCCGCCTCCGCCGGCAGCCGCAGCTATCGAGGAGCCAGAGGAAGTTGCCGCGCCTCCACCGCCTCCGCCGCCGCCCGCGCCTCCTGCCGCCGCCGCAGCTGCCGACCAGGACGAGGGCGTGGTCTGCACCGCGCTCTACGATTTCGAGGCGAGCGAGGACAATGAGCTCAGCTTCGCAGAGGGCGACCGTATCGTCCAGGTCGATGACCAGATCAGCGAGGACTGGTGGAGCGGCACCAACGCCAGGACTGGCTCGCAGGGCCTCTTCCCTGCCAACTATGTCGAGAGGGCCTGAGGAGGAAGGGGGGCGCTACGAACAAGGTGAATACATCCCCATCGAACATGAGCTCGGTGCATGAAACGGAGCGTGTATCCAGCAGAAGCAGGGATGGGAGATTCGAGCTCCAGGCCATGATCTCGCCTGGATGGTCGCCGGAAGAGGGGAGCAAAAACATGACGGCTGGCGGCGCGTCACGGATGCGTGGGCGCGCTCGCCAGCTCCACGTATGTGTGTACTCGCGGTGAGGGCCGGGGCAGAGGCGAATCTCGTGTCGGTGTGGGGTCAGTCAGCGGCATCATCGTTCACGTAGGCCTCTGTGTGAGTCCCTGCACAGAGAGATGGCGAAGGGGAGCAGGGGCATGTGCGGGTTACCGTACCCAGCGTGCGCTGCTACAAGGTGAGGGCGAGGTGGTCATGGTACGCGACCCGCGGTACGGGAAGAAGGGGCGGGGCCGCTCGTCAAGTGCCTTCCTGCTGCCTTGAACCCGAAGGACGGTTCCTTGCCAAGGATAGCACTGTCAGCATGGCGAGCAGCCGACGCCACCCAATTCATTCTGGCGGCCACCGTAGTGAGGATGCCAGCCCACTTTGGTCCAGGAGCCGCCGAGAGCGCGTCAAGATGACATCGAGGGCCCCCCGCCGAGGTGCCTCCCTAGCCGGTCGATTCGATAGCGCTGCAGCGAAGGGACCGCGACGTCCATCTGTGCAGTGGGGCGCGCCGATGGTCTTTTGTGGCGCATCGCATCGAATCGAGTCGACGTTCGGACAGCGAGGATCAGGGGGATGGGGTCGGGGTAAAAGTACAAGTGAGGACTGAGGACGCAGCGGCGACGACGACGGGTCGATGTGGTATGCAGAGAGGGGAACCCGAGGCAAAGAGGAAAAAGAGAGAGCGTATGGGGTAGGTGACCGTGACTGGAAGAACAAGGAGCAAGGCAAAGCAGGGCTAGGTAAAGGCAGTCGAGAAGGAGAGCGTGGCTCGGGGGGCGAAAGGGTGGGGGGGCATGTGCTTGGGCGGAAGCACTACACGGCGTCGCCCGTGACGCTGCGCATCGAGTCGTCCTTCTTGGCATCGTCGTCCTTGGACATGGTCGTGGCCGACGACGACGACAGGGCGCCGCCAGCGCCGGCCGCCAGTCGGAACGTCGCCAGTCGAGCTGCGCCACCGGGCTGCCGTCGCTTCTCGTCGACGACGCCGAGGCGTCCGGCGTCGACTTCGGCCACGACGGCAGCGGCTGCGCCCTCGACGCCGTCAAAGACGACGGCGATCTCCTCGACGGTCCTGCCGCGCGTCTCGGGGTAGGTGAGGAGGACGTTGATGCAAAACAGGACCAGGACGGCGATGTAGACCAGGTAGAGCTTCCAGCCGATGGCGGCGAGGGCGATGGGGTTGACCCAGATGTTGAAGCAGGCCGCCACGGCGAGCACCGAGACCGAGACCGACATGCCCTTGGAGCGCACGTTGTACGGCAGGATCTCGACCGGGTACGAAAACGACAGCGGCGTCATGGCGATGTCGTAGAAGAAGAAAAAGAGAAAGAGAAAGGCGATGACGCTCGAGCCGGCCGCGCTGGCCATGGAGCGCGCGTAGACGGCCGAGCAGACGGTGATGACGACAAACGACGCCAGCATGCCAAACGCCGAGACGATGAACAGGCGGCGGCGCCCGAAGCGCTCGGCGGTAAAGGCGGCCGAGGTGGCCACGACCAGGTTGAAGATGGCGAGGCCGCCGTTGAAGACGGCCTGCTGGCGCGTCGAGCCGATGCCGATCGAGGCGAGGATGCGCGAGAGGTAGTAGCTGATGACGCCGTTGCCGCACCACTGCGTGGCAAACGCGAGCGTGACGACGACCCACATACGCTGGCGGTTGCCGCGCGTGGCCACCAGGTCGCGGAACGTGGTGGCGGCGGCTGCCTTTTCGGCCTCGATGGCGGCGGCGATCTCGTCGAGCTCAAAGCGGACGAGCGGGTCGTTGCGGTCGCCGTTGGCGTGGTAGGTGGCGAGCACCTCGAGGGCGTCGTCGCGGCGCCCCTGGGCCACGAGCCAGCGCGGCGACTGCGGGCACCACCACAGGACGCCGATCTGGAGGACAAAGGGGAAGATCTGGAAGAGGCAGGGGAGGCGCCAGGACCACGAGTCGGACCAGCGGTTGGTGCCAAACGTCATCCAGGCGGCCACGACGGCGCCCGAGTAGAAGCCGCACTGGTAGAGGCTGGCGACGGCGGCACGCTGGCGCGGGTGGGCGAGCTCGGCCATGAGGATGGGGCTGGCGACCATGGTGAGGCCGCTGGCGAGCGAGAGGACGACGCGGGCGCAGATGAAGAGGTCGCGCTGGTGCGAGGGGCGGTCGAGCTTGACGGCGGTGAGGGCGCCGCCGACGACGGCGATGGTTGCGGCGATGAGCATGGTGCGGGAACGGCCGAGGCGGTCGTTGAGCCACCCGCCGACAAACGGGGCAAAGACGATGCCAATGATGCCGCTCATGCCGATGATGCCGGTGAGGTTGGAGTCCGGGTTGCCCAGGTCCGAGGACCAGCGCTCGAGGGTCTGGAGGCCGGTGAAGAGGGAGCCGTCGAAGCCAGTGGCGTACGACGAGACGAGGCAGACGAGCATCCAGAAGTTGAGGCGGCGGAGGCCCGGGTCGAGGATCCAAAGGGACTGGTTTGTGTTGTTGGGGATGGCGGCGAGGCGATCGCTGAGGGCGGGCGGCCTGTGCGAAAGAGCGATGCCCGCCTTGCTGCGTCCGAGGTCGGTCATGCCGAACATGGCGGGAGAAGGGGGAGGGAAGGTAGGCAGAGGTGCAGATTGAGGTGCCGAGATCGACGCGGTCGGTGCCAAGCTGGGTGGCTGTAGTGGATCGGCGGTGCGATCGTCTAGCAGGGACTGTGTAGAGGGCGCGATCAGAAGTGTGGCATCAAGGGGTGACAGTGTGAGATGAGGAGGCGCGGTGGCATGCTAAGGCGAGCTGCCGCCGTGAACGGGGGAGGGTAGAACCCGTCGAGGTCGAGCGAGGTGGGGCGCGAGCAGAGCTCGGCGAGGATGGCGTCCGTGACGATAGCCAAGGTTGTGGTTAGGATGGGCAGGCAACGGGGCGGCGTAGATTCCGAGGATGAGGCTTTTCCAGAGTGGCGCGGGGAGGCTACCGATGTTGCGGGGCGGGTTGTGCCAGAGGCATGGTCCGAGATGTGACCGGGAGCGAAGGCAGGAGGTGTCAGCCGGCAGCCATGGTCCGCGAGCCGGGTGAAGCGGGGTCGGGGCGCAGGCAAGCCGGTGTATGATGGCCTGGCCAGGTGCAAGGATGGGCGAGAGTCGGTCGAGGGCGAGGAGGAGGGAGAGGAAGAAAGGCGAAGAAGGCGAAGAGGATAAGCCAAGGGTCGGCGCGACTTTTTGGCCCAAGTGAATAGACAGAGAGCAGTGTTGCGGGGTCGGTTGCAGGTAGAGAAGCGGTTGGGGGCGCGGCGGGGCGCCAACCAAGGCCGTGTGTCAAAGAGTCCCGCGAGGAGTCGCTGCTGAGCCTTAGCTTCGTTATTCCGGTGGGTCTCACGACGCACCGCTCGTCTGGCGCAGCCACCTACAGAGCGACCTTGCGAGGACCGGCAGCATGTTGGGGACTCGACCCTTGACCTCGCCCCGTCGCATGCTGTCCACGGGTGGGAGGATGAGAGGGGTTGGGGGGGCCAAAAGGTCCGGGGGTTGCGCAGCGAGCTTGCTCCAACGGAGGGCCCAGCCTCGCTCCCTCCCACTTGCCTCGCCTGCGCGCCCGGCATGGCGGCCCTCGGCATCCTTCTTCCGTGCCCCTCTTGCCGAGCCTCGACGACCCTGGCCTGACTCGAGGCCCCTTGCTTTGGCTTTCTTCCACCTGCCTCCAGGCCACCGTCGCAACCATCTCGACATCCTCGTCCGCGACAGTCAATCAGCTCGCATGCTCAGCCAGCATGGTGCAACACGGCATATCGGCACCTTGGCGCAGCGCAGCGCACACCGTCTCCCTCGCTGCCACACTCGTGCACTAGACGTGGTTGGACTGGCACAATGGTTGGTATGAAGTAGAAGGCCATCGTGCGACGTAACAGCAGAGGATGCAGCTACAGCTCGGGGAAGGGTAGTAAGTAGCAGTTGTATCGGCTGTGCTGGCTATACAAAATCGTCAAGGCGTTGCAGCAGATCTAGCAAAGGGCAGGTCGTCAAGCAGAGGGGCCGCGCGGCGAGGGGTGGCGCCGCTCAGAGGCTCTTTTCAATCGCGGCCAACTTCGACGGGTGGTGCGCGCCCGTATCCGTCGGGTCCTGGAGCTTCTTGGCCGCCTGCTGGCTGCTAAAGTAGCCGTGCAGGTCGGCCTCGAGGCCTTCCTCGGCGGCCAGGCTGTCCTCGAGCGTCTTCTCGGCGCGCGCCTCCTTGGTCGCCTCGTAGATGACTTGCATCTCGGCGATGCGCTGCTCCTTGTCCAGCTCCGGGTCATAGTACCGGTGGCGCTTGAGCACCACGCGCTCCCACAGCGACAGGTGGCGCGGGTGGATGGCGATGCCGTGGTACTCGGACTCGCGGCCCGTCAGGACAAACTCCCAGTACCGCTCCTGCTCGCGCAGGTCCAGGCCCGTCGTGTCCGGCACAAAGACCATCGTGATGATCCAGCCGCCAAGGCCAAACCAGCACACGACCCAGAACTTGGTGTGGTTGTCGATGTAGTTGTAGAGGATCGCCGGCGCCAGCGCGCCCAGCTTGCCCACGGCGGCCGAAAAGCCGTGGGCCGTGGCGCGGATCGAGGCCGGGTACACCTCGGCCGCCAGCAGGAAGCTCGTGGCGTTGGGGCCAAACTGGTTCCAGAACGACGACAGGAAGTAGATGGCCTGGAAGCCGCGGATGCCGCTGCCGGGTACGGTGAGCGTGTTGTACATGGCCGCCGCCACAATGAAGAGGATAAAGTCGGCCACGAAGCCGTTGGCCTGCATCCACTTGCGCCCGTACTGCTTGTGGTCCATGAAGATGGCCGCCATGTAGTAGCCCACCAGCGAGACGCCGACGTTGATCAGGTTGTAGAGCCACGTCGTGCCCAGCGAGGCGTTGCCGCCCGTGATGATGCCAATGAAGACGCCCGAAAAGATCTTGTTTCCGTACTGTTCAGGCGCCGCACGAAAGAGAGGGTAAAGGCAAGAGCCCGAGGTCAGCACGGAGACGACAGGAGGACGACCAAGGCACTGCTTCCCTCTCCTTGAAAAACTCACAAAAAAGAAGTCATTCGCGAACCAGCCGCCTGCGGTGCCCAGGATGCGGTGCCAGTAGTGCCCCATGGCCAGCTTGAGCGACTTGACGTCGTAGCCCGACGTGTGCAGGCGCTTCTTGGCGTTCTGGAGCGCGACGTCGGTGTACTTCATGCGGTAGTAGCGGATGTAGGCGAGGTAGAGGGTAAAGGCGGCGATGATGGCGAACTGGACGCGGAACGTCCACTGGGTCGACGTCGTCGTGTAGGGCGGGTTGATGGAGCCGTGGAAGATGAGGAGGCCGATGATGAGGATGCCCTGGTTGGCCAGCTGGCCCCAGCCCTGCATCAGGAACGCCAGCTGGACGTTGCGGCCGCGGTGCATCCGGTCGCCCGTCGTCGCCGCCCGCCCGCTGCCCGTGCCCTCCATGGCCCGCGTCGACGTCATCGGGTACTCTCCGCCCACGCCGATGCCGTATACGAAGAGGGACCAGGCGTAGCAGATGACCCAGCCGTTGAGGGTGGTGCCCCACATGGCGGTGAGCATGACGGAGCCGAGGGTCATGATGAGGGCGTCCTGGACCATGCCAAACTTGCGGCCGATCCAGTCGCCCTCGATGCCGACGAGGATCTGGCCGACAATGATGCCGACAATCTCGAGGTAGTCGACGGCGTGGATCCACTGCTCGTTGCACACCTCGTGCGTCTTCCAGCACGCCGGGTAGGTCGCCTTGAACAGCGGGGTGAGGTTGCCGACCGAGAAGAGGGTGAAGCCCTCGACAAAGAGGCCGAGGCCGGTGATGACATAGTTGTTGAAGTAGGCGCGGATGGGCGACAGCGGGTCCTCCTTGAACATGCGTCCGATGACGCCGAGCTCGCGGGCGGCCTCGGCGTTGGACTGGCGGTTGATCCAGCGCGTCTTTTCGCCAAAGGGCAGGTCGGCCCAGTAGGTGTGAGTGTCTTGGGTGTACGAGTCGGCGGGGAAGAGGTGGCTCTCGAGGATGCTGTGGTCGTTGTGGTCGGGCAGCGGGCGGACGTTGGCGGAGCCCTTTTCGGCCGCACCGGCGCTCGAGGAGCCTGAGTCCGATGCGGGGCCCGAGCCGGCGCCCGACGAGGCCACCGAGGGCTCTGTGTGGGCGGTGACTGCGGCGGCAGAGAGGCAGAGAGGCAGCACGGGGGTCGCGAGCAGGTCAGCGTGCGCTCAGCCAGTCCAGCGCCGGCCCTGCTCCGAGCAGCATGCCGCCGGAATCTCCACTCACTGTGCTCAGACATGTTGACGAGCCGCGAGGCAGGTGGTGGAGTGGTGAGAAGACGAGGGCCGGTCGATCCGTCTCTCTGCAGTCTTGCTCGATGTCCCTGGGTCGCCGATGGGAGCTTGGCGGGCGCGAGTGCGTTCCGCAGCCAGGCAGGGGTCGGCGGTCGTGAAAGGGGTGGTGAGGAGCGAGGGTCGCGGTGGTGGTCGCGGTGGCGGTCGCGGTGGGTGTGGCAGGGAGGGCGCTCGACCAGGGAGGAAGCCGACGGCCAGGGGCAGGGGTTAAGTAGGTAGGGGCCGGCTGATGGGGCGCTCGGTGGGGGGTTGGGACGTTGGTGGGTTGGCTCGACGCATGCAATTCAAACAACGAAGGCCTGCCCGCCACGACGCCACGCCCACGCAACGCTGGAAACTGCACTCGACACGCAGCAGGCCGGGCTGGCCTGGCAGGCTGGCAGGCAGAAGTAGAGAGCTTCTGGCTCGGCTGTTTGCTCTGGCATCTCGGAACGTCGGGCACGAGGTCGAGAGCGAAAACCGAAAGCAAGCTTAGCTTGGTCTACCGGTATCTGGCTGGCTGACGGTGGCCTTCCGAAAAAAGTTCGCCAGCACGAGGGTGGGCGGGCGGTCGGGCCCTGGCCCTGGCCCCGGCTCCAGATTGATTGGCCTGTTGGCCTGGCCCGGTCAAGAGGGAGCGTCATGGTGGCAGGCGGGCAGCAGCCCTAGCCTACCTGTAGCTGCCTGCTTGTCGGGCAGAGAGGAAAGAAGAGGCTTGGCAAGGCAGATCGCCGTCGGTGGCCCGCGGGCGATTTGGCGCCATCTGAAGAAAAAATTCCAAAAAAGCGCCGACGCAGCGGCCGCTCTTTTCCGCCCGCTGGGACCGCGGCCAGGGCTGGCCTCGTCTGGCACCCGCCTCAGCGCGGCATCTGCGCCGCCAACCGCCGCCGCGGCCCGGTTCGACCCAACCGGCGATGCCGGTCCACCCGCTTGACCTCACCCAGACGACCGACGGTCGGGTCGAGTTTTTTCCTACCTTCGGTCGGTTCGTCGGCGGGACATCAGGACCTGCGCTCGCATGCAGCGTGCGTCCGTTTGCTCGCTGCCTGGCCGCCTGCTTGCGAGGAATCTGGCATGGACCCCTGAAGCAGCGTGCGTGCTGGCAGAGGACCAGCACAAGCAAGGTCGCTCGGCCGCCAGCTGCTCGCTCAACCCCCCACCTGGCCCACTGTGGAGCCGAGGCCAATCAGCGAGCCAGTCGTCGACGAGCTTTCAAGAACGTGCTCGCCTTGCATGATGGTCGACTCTAACCCCCCGCTTGCCGTCGGCGGTCGCTCCGTCGCCGCTCGCTGGCCTCCTCACCACCTGGAGAAGTCGTGTTTCTGCCATCGACTCGCCACCACCAAGAGGGGATCATGACGTTGAACCATGTCTCATGTGGTTGCAGTCGCTCTCTGCTCGTCAGCTTTCCAGCATCGAGGGCGACGAACTGCGAAACGACGAGCCAGCGGCCCGACGCAGGCCAAGAAGATCTTTCTTGCTTTGCCTGGCGAGCTGCAGGGGCGCCAGGGCCATCAAACCAGCTCGCCCGTCGCCCCAGGCTGAAGGCCAAGCCCTGCACCGCTGCACGAAGCATGCACGCAACCTCCCCGCTCTTCGCTGCTCGACCCCAGGCAGGCAGATGCGATGCGAAATGGCTGATTGGTCGGACGAGGTCGTGTGACTTTGTCCTCGATCCTGGGCTGTCTGTTCGCCCGGCTTGTCGAGAGCTACGCCTGAGGTTAGATTGCTTTTGGCTTGCTCGACTTGCTTCGCAGTTGAGCCTCTACATGAGCCAGAGACGGAGGTCGATTGTCCGCACCAGTGGGCGTACGGGCGTACAGCACCTCCGAGCTACCGTATCGTCGTCGACGCTGGTCTGGCGTAGCGTTTCAGCGGCTTGGCGTGCGACCTTTGCCCGGCAGGAACCGATCGAGGTCGAGCTTCACACCGGTTCGGCCCGTCCGCTCGACATCATCAACGCATGGGAACACCATGCATCTGCCGACGGCTCACCCGTATCTACGCTCAGGCTCGGACCAGCGTGACGCAGAGCACGGGGTGACATGGACGCCTCTCGATCTTGCCTGGTTGAGGGTGAGGCGGAACGCAGCAGCAGCAGCAGCAGCAGCAGCAGCAGCATGCTCGAGATCCATGCATCATCTCTTGCTCGCTCTTGCTTCTCCCAAAGTAGAGTGAGCGTGTTCCGCTCGTGATGACGTGACGTGAGAGGAGCGGCAAGCGTGGTGAACGGATCAAAGATGCCGAAGCGTCCAGAGGACCCATCGAGCGAGCCAAGATGCCGTTGGTCCCGGCGGTGGCGGCAGCGGTAGCATCGGGCGCCGGGTCGCGCGCGCGCGCGCGCAGAATAAGCGAGGCTGTCCACGTTCCCTCGAGTGCATGAAAAGGAAATCGGCCGTGGCAGCTGAGCTGCCTTAGCCTCTTGCTGATCCCCGCCACCGCCTCTCTGCTTCTCGCCACACGTCGCACCCCTCCTTCGTGTCTTCGTCGACCCACCAGGCCTCTTGGCCCGCCTTGTTTGCCTCGTGCAGTCAGCGGGGTTCGAAAACTCTCGTCGAGCGGCACCAACCCGTACCGTACCGGTGCCTTGCCTTACCGCGGCATGAACGTCGAGAGGCGAGAGGTGAGAGGCAGCCTCGTCAAGCAATCAGCCCGCCCGGCAGCCTGCCTGTTCTGCGACCATATGGAAGCTCGACGATGCCGCCGGGCGGCTGCTCGACGACATTGCTTGCTCCACGAGGCGACATCCGGCTCTTAATTCTCCGAAGCGGATACGCCGGCGGCTCCTGTGATGCACCTGCCTCGACGTCCGATGCCGTGCTGGACGCCGGCAGACGTCAGAAACGCAGACCGCGAGGTCGAGTGTCACCAACGTGTCACGCTCTCCGCGAGGTCCACTCGCTCCAAGAAAGCGTTCCCAAAGGCGATAATACCCTCAAATCGATGGCCCGCCTTCCCTCTACGGACCGCTTCCGTGGGCAGCTCAGCCCGACGGCCGCCCGTCGTGCCTGGCGCGTTCCTGGATGACGAGAGGAGCAGACATCTTCGGCTTCCCTTCCGAACCTCGTGGTCCAGCAGCTCGGAAGCCTCTCGCCAACGTCGGCACCACCCGATCCCCCTCTTCTCCCGTCAGGCAGCCTCACGGCATGATATCGCCTCGCCAAGCCAGAACTCTCGGGACGATCAGATCGTGGCACCTCAGCGATGCCGAAACGCGGTCCTCGCCCCGCCGTCCTCGTCCGAACAGCATGCGATTCCAGCCTCGTCTAGCTCCGGGACGAGCCACGCGGCTGCGGTTGTGTTGCGGCTTCACATCGTACTCATCGGATCGATTCCGGGATAGCTGCAGGTTTCGGCGATGCGAGGAGCTTGCGATACCTCGATTGTCGGCGCATCCGCGGCATGGTGGACAGCTGTGCCTTTCGGGCCGACCTCGTATGCCGCTTGATCACGTTCACGGGTCGCAGGCGTTGGTTGCTGCCAAGCCGGGGCGATTCGGGCAAGGCACAACGACCGCTGGGGCTCCCCTACTCCGTCGATGACGCTACGAGGTCAAAAAGCCCAATTGACACAACAACATGAAGGCCTCACTGTTCACTGTGCCAGATGCCCTTGTTGGTGCTGCAGATGAAAAGATGCAATTGAGGTGGTGTGTGGTGAATGCAGTGCAGCAGCGAAAGAGGAGAGGCATCACAGCAAGAAGCTCAGCAAGGGTCAAAACTTTCCTGTTGCAGCAGGCGTCTCAGCCAGGTGCGAGACCAAGCTGCTGCTGCTGCTGCAGCAACAGCAGCAGCTGCTTGCAAACATGTTGGTGAACCTCAAGTGTGGAGAAGTGTCGTCTTCATCTCTACTGCATCACGCTGCGAGCCCGCTTCGCTGCTGCAGCTACAGGTCATCACCCCGAACGTTAAATGAATCCCGTATCGACGTGAAACTGAAGAATTTGGCTAGTAGTCACAGCTGTGAGTTCTGGGCGACATCGCCCGCCGGCCCCTCGTGGCATGGTGGACGGCTACTGTGCACCTCTTGAGCCGACCTCGCATGCCGTTTGATCACGTTCCCGGGTGGGTCCTCACCGTACTGAGGCGGCAACCTTAGGCGGCCGATGTTTGTCAAGCTTTCTCGGACCGGCCCGACGCCGATGGGCTCGCCGCGAGGACCATCTGCATCCTACTACTCAGGGGCGGCCCTCGCCCTCTGTCGGCATGCTGCTGCGATTGTTGCGGCCATTTCCGCCACGCCGATCGACGATGCCAAGCCGCTCACCCCACTCGGTGCCTCGCAGCTGGTCAAACGTGTCGCGCACGGCAAAGTCGAGGCTGCCATAGACGACCTCGAGATCGTGGATGCTCGGTCCGACGTCGAGGTTGTGCAACGTGTGCGGGTCGGTCGGCGTGGCCGGCTCGGATGACGTGGCGTGCGTGTCGGAGCCGGGAGCGGCCGACAACGTCGAAGCGGAGGTGCGCAGCGACGAAGAGGCGAGCGAGATATCGATGTCTGGCAGCGGTATGCCCTTCTCCATCCGAATCATGGCGCCGAGCTGCGGTGGCGTAGGCAGCGTAGACAACCCGGCAAGAGGGAATTAGCGATAGGCGGTCGGCGCCTCGGCCAGGAGGTCAAAGAAGCCCTCCTGCCACTCACCTCGGGCAGCCACGCCTGTGCGACGAGGAACGATGATGAGACGGGCCACCGCATCGTTCAGCTCCTCCTCGCCTCGATGTCGTCCACACTCGACCCGCAGCCGCCAGTCGTGCTCAGCCTGCCGCGAACGACTCACCTGACCGGCCGAGAGGATGTAGCGCCTGCCATTGGTGGCCGAAATGTCGCCAAAGAGCGCCTCGCACGCCGCCATGGCTACGTCGCGCACGTCGACCCAGAAGCCGCGGTCTTCGCCGCCCATGTAGCGGCCCTGGACGGCGTGGAACAACTTGAGATTGTCGTCGCGCATCGCGCGAGGCACCACCTCGGGACCGCAGATGTTGACGGGCAGCAGCGAGGTCATGCCGAAAACATCGGGCTTGTCGCTCTGTAGCCTGTGCGTCTCCCAGATCTGCCAGCAGGCCTGCTCCGCCATCGCGCTGAGGTGGCCATCGAGCCGCAGATCGAGGGCGGAGCTCAGCGCAGCGCCAGGGGCGTCCGAGCCGACTCGCTCGACGACGCATACTCACTTGCACGCCGCAAAGAGCATGTGCGCCTCCCCGGCGCCTCGGACCTTGCCGGCTGCCTGTCGGGTGAGGTCCTGCGAGACGTTGCGCCGAGTGTGAGGCGAGAGTGAGGCGTCGAGCTTCGTCGCGCACACCTCAATATGCAAGCTGATGGCTCACGTTGTAGTTGAGCTGTCGTCGGCCCGGGTCGAGGAGGGTGTTGGCGATTTGACCGGAGGACCATCAGCTTAGCTTATCCTGGCATCCTTTGGCGGTGGAATTTGCGCTCACCTCGGTCGGCGACAGCCTGTAGTCGCCGAGTGCAGTGACCGACGAGACGAGGGCGACCCACTCGAGCCCGCCTGCCCTGATGGCAGACTGGAGGATACTGCAGGATCCCTCGACCGCCGGCGTGAGCATGTCGAGCTCTGCGTTGCCGTGGTAGCTGCACTCTCTGGGCGAGACAAAGTGCACGAGGTGCGACGAGCCTACCGAGGGAGGTGCAGGTGCGAGATCGGTTTAAGCGGATCGCTCGGCGCTCGACGAGGTTCGTGCCGACCGCTTTCGAAAGGGAGGGACCGCCCGGCATACCCACCCTTGATGATGTCGTCGAAGCGGCCTGGCACCCAAGGGTCGGGCACGAGGAGGATGCGGAGGGCCTGGCCCATGCCGACAAAGGCATCGGCGACGTCGTTTGCCTCGTCCTGGCTAGCGACGACCGCGCGCACGTGGGCCTTGAGGCTCAGGAGCTCGCGGACGACGTGGAGGCCCGGAAAGGCTGTTCGAGGCGAAGTTTGAAGTGCCCGTGGCGAATCAGCGGCGACAAAGTGGCGCAGTCAGGGGGCCCTGCCCGCAGAGCACCTACAGGCAGCCTGGGTGACGACGACGACGGCGGAGGGGTACGCCGAGGGCTCGATCGGAGGGATAGAGATCGATGGGCCTCGAGGCCGGCCGCCGACTGCCTGCTCGGACGAAGTGGCCATGATAAAGCTGGCTGAGAAGGGGGTTATGATCGATGATGTTGTCGTCAAGAGGGAAGGGAGGATAGGACGGGGCATGAGACGAGCGAAGGCGGTGCGGGAGTGGGAACAGGAACGCAGGCCCGCCTGCTGCGATGGTCAGGGGGCTTTATACGCTGCCAAGGGCGGCGGCCGTGCCCGACTCTGGGAGAAGCTCGACGACGTCGATCGCATCTCTCAGCGGCCTTGGCATGAGCCGGCTGCGGCACTAGAGCAGAGCTCGACGGAGGAGATGGCGGGGCAGTCGATCATGAATCAGCGGCCAGCGCAGTATCGTCGGCCAAAGGGCAGGGGCCATGCAGAGAGCAGGCGTGCGTGCGGGAGCCCTGGCGAAGCCGGAGAGCCGCGCAGGGTCGCGCGCCGATTGTGTGCGCTGAGTCGAGGTTGCTGAGCCAGGTCGGCCATCGTCGCGGGCAGAGGCGGATCGAGGATAGCGTCGAGTAGGCTGGGGCCTGGCGCGCGCTGGGCAGCGAGGGGCAGAGGCAGAGGCAGAGGCGGGCCAGGGTTCGGCAGGCCTCTTGGCTGGCCCGCCAACGCGGCGTGGGTAAGCAGCAGCAGCTTCGGCTCGCCCGCTGCACCCTGCCTGCCTGCCTGCCGAGTCCCTGGCTGCACCCTTGCCTGCCAGGCTGCCTGCCTGCCTGCCTGCCACGCTCCCGGACCACCGCAGCAGCCAGGGACCCCCTCTGGTCTGCTCTGGCCAGACGCCCACCCATCTGCTCGCCTCGCTCAGTCGGCTCTCCCGCCACCACCACTACCACCAACGCTGCTGCCAAAGCTCCCGCCAGCCAATCACAATGAAGGTCGCCATCATCGGCGCAGGGCCGAGCGCCCTCGTCACGGCAAAGACGCTCCTCGAACAGGCCGAAAAGGATCCCAGCTTCAACCCGCAAATCACCCTCTTCGAGGCAGAGGACCAGATCGGCGGCACCTTCCGCTACCGCTCCTACTCCAACGCCACCCTCGTCTCGTCCAAGCAGCTCACCGCCTACTCCGACTTCCGCCTGCCCCTCGACCACCACGACCACCTCACCCTCCCCGAGTACGTCCAGTACCTCGAAGACTACACCGCACACTTTAAGCTGCGCCACAGATGCCGCTTCCGCTTCAACACAAAGGTCCTCTCCGTCGCAAAGGTCGACGGCGGACACCTCGTCAGCTACGCACCTTCCAAGCTCGAATCTCCCACGCCCGACCAGGAGCTCTTCTCCCACCTCTGCGTCTGCTCCGGCCTCCACGTCGTGCCAGCCGTGCCCGAGATCCCCGGCCTGCCACCGGTCATCAAGGGCGAGCAGGCGGTCCCCAGCCTCAGTGAGACGAGCGTCGAGGCATCCGGCAAGGCGTCCGGCAAGGCGTCCGGCAAGGCGCCTGATCCTGCGCCCGAGGAAGCTCGCACCGCCGACGACATCCTCACCCTCCACTCGTCGCAGTACAAGGACCGCTCCCTCTACAAGGGCAAGCGCGTCATGATCCTCGGCACCGGCGAGACAGGCATGGACATGGCCTACGAGGCCGTAAAGGGCGGTGCGACCGAGATCGTCCTCTGCACCCGCGCCGGCTTCCTCATGTTCCCCGCCGTGCTCGCCGACTTTGTCGTGCTCGGCACCACCTACGACGGCAACCTGCCCATCGACGGCCTCATCACCAACCTCTTCGAGACCGCATACGTCCACCCCTGGGTCGCCGCCTCTCACCTGCGCTGGTTCGTCTCCGACTTTGTCATCAAGCGCGTCCTCTGGCTCCTCACCGGCACCCAGGCCGGCTGCAACCAGTGGGTCGGCGAGTTGGAGCCCGAGCGCCTCGGCCGCGCCTATACCTTCCTCAACAAGAGCAGCAAGGCGATGCCCTACATCAACCGCGGCTGGAAGAACAGGCCCTGGCTGTTTGAAAAGTTCGCCTCGTACCTCGACCCGCCGACGGTGCTGCCCGAGGAGCCCTCGGTCGACCTGGCGCCATTTCCCTCTCACGTCACCCACGACGGCCGCGTCGTCTTCCGCCGCAACGGCCGCAAGGAGGACCTGCGGATGCGCGAACGCACCGTCCGCCCGGACGTCGTCGTCTACGCAACGGGCTACAAGCAGGACTTCGACTTCCTCTCCGACGACTACCCTGTGCCGGCGACGGTGCGGTGCCGCGACGTCTTTGACCCCTCGGACCCGACCGTCGCCTTTATCGGCTTCGTGCGGCCGGGTGTCGGCGCCATCCCGCCCATCGCCGAGATGCAGGCCCAGCTGTGGACGCTGGTTCTGCGCAACAAGATCGCCCCGCCGACGTCGACGCCGCACTACTACCTCCTGGTCAAGGAGAGCGCCCGCATCAAGTACGGCGTCGACTACTCGTCGTACGTCTCGCAGCTGGCGCGCGACATGGGCTCGGCGCCCGGGCTCGGCCAGCTCCTGTGGGAGTACGGCATCAAGGTGACGCTCGTCTACTGCTTCTGCGCCGCCTTTACCACCATCTACCGACTCGTCGGGCCCTACCGCCACCCGGATGCCCGCCGCATCGTCGAGACCGAGATCTACGACACAATCAGGCGCCGTGGCGTCGTCGGCAACCTCATGATGGGTCTCATCCCGATGCTCTTCTACGCCGCCATCAACCTGGCGGCCTACATGCTCGAAAAGTCGCTCAGGCTCGCTGCGGCGGTGACCAGGCCATTCTTGATCCGACCCCTGTCCGGGAAAGCGCTGCAACCGACTGGCCACCGAGTTAGGCGCTTCCAGAGTGACTACGGTACTTCCCCAGCGGGAGCGGACGCTGCTGCTGTCGGCGGGGCCAACGCTGCGGCTCGGCAGGGGCCCAATGCCAGGGCCGCCCCGCCCCGCGGCAAGCTGCTTCGGCTCTTCGCGCTCCTCACCGGCCTGCTCGCAGTCGCCACCGACGAGGCGCACGCCAACACCGAGATCCGCAACGTCGGGCCCGTCCTGTGCCGTGCCGACGAGTACGGCCACCTGGCGGCCAAGGCGGCTGATCAGCTCGCTGTGCAGTGGTAAGTCACGAAGATCCGATCCGACCCGAACTCGACTCGCTCCCGCTTCGCTGCGGTGTACACTAGCGCTGCGATCTGTCCGGCAATGCTCAGTCTGCATTCGCGATCTCCTGACTCTGCGCTGGCCTTTGATCCCTGCCTCATTCGCCCTCGACTTCTGCCTCCTATGCCCTCCTCAGGCCGGTGCTCACGCCTTCCACCACGCCTCAGCTGTTCACGGTGCATCCAGAGCCTGCCGAGTCGTACGCGGTGCTCGACTCGGACCGCACATCGCGGCTGGGAGCCTGGCTGGTGCTCGACGTGTCAAACGGCGGCGAGTTTACGCTTCCGCTGCCCGCCACGCTCGTCAATGCCGAGCTCGAGGCGCCGCGCGACCGTCTGCTGCGACGCGGCTGGAACGCGCTGACCTGGGCGCTTTTCCGACGCTTCAGCGTGCGCCTGAGCTATGCGGCCAACGTGCCCACGCGGTTCCACATGGCCGTCTACACGCCCGAAGAGGCGCTCGACAAGGGCGGGATAGCCTGGCAGGCGGAAAAGGTGGGCGAGCACATGACGCACGTCGGCGAGGCGCCCGGTAGGACCAGCGCGCCCGGCGCCGCACCGACCGGCGCTGTTGACGGGCAGGCCGCCGCCAACACGGAGTCGGGCACGATCGAAGGCGCGGCGGAAGACGATCCAGCAATGGTCGTCATGCCACGCAAGGTCCACCCTTCGGCGGCCAAGGACGCCGAAGGCGACGACGACCGGCTCATTTCGCCGTCGTCGGCATCCAAGACGCCGCTGGACCGCAAAGACATCCTCTACCCTTGCCCGCGCCTCTACCTGCACCTCGTCGCCTTCGTCGACGGTGTGACGATCCCGCCGCCTCGGACGGCACGCGCGGCGCCCACCTCGCTCGCGCAGAGGGCGCTTCAGGGCCTGTACGACCTGAGCGAGGCTACCGTCGGTCGTCTTGCCACGCGGTACGACGGCACGGCGGCAGAGGACGGAGGTGCAACGAGGATGATGCCGATCCACCTCACCCTCGAGCCGCTCCTGCTCGGCCTGGTCCCCGCCACGGCCCTGCAGCTCCTCTACCTCTTGGTCCCCGCCCTGCTCGCTGCCTACCTCCTTGTCCTCCCCGCCCTCCGCAGTTGGATCCAGCTGCCCGTCGCGGGCGGGGAGCAGAACGGCAGCGCAAAGCAGCTCAAGACCGAGTGATGCGCCGTCAAGCAGAGGCAGGCGGGCAGGCGAAGCGCTCGACCGGGGCGGGAACGGAATGGAATTGCAACGAATGGCTCGGGCGACCTGGTATCATCGTTCGTGTGTGCGGAGAGTGCGGGCGGGCCCCGCGGGCGGGCGGATCGTCTATCTATACAGGCAGGGGGAGGGACGGGCGATGGGCAGGAGGGGCTCGCCAGGCCGCTCCTACCCGGTCAGGGCCTTTTTGATGTTGGAGAAACCGAGGTGGCTGAGGGCGTTGTAGAGGTAAAACAGCCGGCTGCACTCCTTGTCGTCCTGGAAGGGGTAGGGTGCGCCGAGGGCATAGGCGGCAGCGTAGCCGCTAACGATGGCGACCTCATGCATGTTGACGAGGGTCCAACCGCCGCAGAACTGGGTGTGGTTCTTGCCGTTGATGGCCCAGAGCCAGGGCACGACGTAGGCGTAGTGCGTCCAGCGGTGGCTCTGCTGCTTCCACCACTTTTCGAGAATGACTTTGTCGGCGCGGATCTCGTCCTTTGTCCACTTGTCCGACAGGTCGCGGTTGAGGAAAATCGTCTGGAAGACGTGGTCCGACAGCGGCGGCTGCTCGCTGCTCCCCTCGCTGCGCGGGGCGGGCTTGGACAGCGATGCCTCCTGCGAGTCGCCCTGGCGGCCCTGGGGACCCTGTCGCTCGGTCGGCGGCGCGCTCGACTCGGACCGCGCCCCGCCCTCGTTGGGCCCCGTGGCGGGCACGCCGCCAAACTGGGGCTGGTAGTTTGTCAGGTCGAAGCTCATCTCGATGAGGGCCGGGTCGTCGTCGTACATCTTGATGAGGTAGAGGGGCTTCCAGTTCTTTTCGGCAAAGGCGAACGACTCCTTGGACTTGTCGTCGTGGCGGTCGGCGTTGTACTTTGCGTCGTACGTCATCTGGTAGTGGCGCTCCATGTACTCGACGTCGTTGTGGGTCGATGTGATGTCCCACTTGTAAGTGACGGAGCCGAGGACTTTGCGCTCGCGCCACGAGGTGCCCTTGCCGAGCACCTTGAGGATCGTGTCGGCGTCGCAGGCGAGGATGAGGTCGTCGTAGACCTCGGTGCGCGCCTCTTCGTCGCCCGTGGCGAGCGGCTTGCCGTCCTTGTCGACCTTGCGGCTGGTGACGAGGATGTTGCCGCCGGCCTTGCGCGCCTCGCGGGTGCCGCGCTGGATCTCGGTGACCTCGCGGCTCGTCTCGACGCGGATGTTGCCGTTCTTGGACACCTCGTCCCTCCAGGCGGCGTAGACGCGCGCCAGCTCCGGGAAGGCCATCATGGTGGGCACGCTGGCCAGCAGGCTGTCTTCGCTGTACTCGAACAGGCGCATGCTCGGGTCGAGAAAGACGCGCTCGAGGATGGCCGACGAAATGTGCTTGGTGTCGTTGCCCGTGCCGAAAAAGAGGGCGACGAGCGGGTAGACCATGCGCTCGCCAAAGTCGTCGCTGAAGCCGAAGAGGCGCAGCATGCGGTGGACGGGGATGACGGCGAAAAACACCTCGAAGCGCTTGATGGTGCGCAGCGTCTTGCCAAACTTTTTGATGTCGTCGCTGAAGCGGTCGACGAGCTCCGAGGGAAACACGTTGGACCAGAACGTGTCCTTGCCCTTGCCAAACGAGATCTGCAGGCCGACCTCTTGCGCCTTGAAGCCGAGGACCGACTCAAACACCTTGAACGTGTTGTGGAAGACGGGGCTGGCACCTTGCACGCCGTCGTTGATGTACTGCGAGCCGTACTTGGCCGGATCCGGCAGCTGGTAGGACGTCGCCGAGCCGCCGAGGGAGCACTGCTTGTCGTAGAGGGTCACGTCAAACTTGTCCGGGCAGAGCGAGAGGGCGTGGCAGGCCGACATGCCGGATGCGCCGGCGCCCACCACAATGACGCGCTTCTTGTTGGGCGGGGGGCCGGTCATGGTTGTATGAGGGAGGGGTTGGAGAGCGAGCGAGTGGTAGTTGGATGGGCGGCCTAGGGGCGAGCGGTGATGGTGGCGTTGCTGGGAGCGCTCTGGGATATGCGGTGGCGGCGGCGGAGAGGATGGTATGTGGTGGCCGAGAGGATAGCTGTGCGAGACTGGAGCCACGAGGACGGGGGGCAGGCTGCGACGGGGTCCTCGGGCCCCGCGAGCGTCGAGGGCAGGGTTGGGTCCGGGTGCTTAGCCAAGGCATCTCTTGCAGCGAGGGTCTGTCGATCTGATCTCGTACTGTTGGACAGCTGCGTTGCGTCGGCTTGCAGCAACTCAGTCAGTCAGTCAGCCTGCCCGCCCAGCCCAGCCTCCACATGCTTTCCGCCCCACAGGGCCGCCCCCTCCAACGACTCGTGCATGCCCTTGCTTGCTTGCCTCCAGTTGCTCCTCTGTTGGTAGTCTCAACAACCCCTCCCTCAGAAATGCATTTTCCCCTGAGCAGCTGCCAGCTCCTCCTCAGGGGACAGTCTCTACATCTGTATGCCTAGTGTCTCCTCCATCTCAGCAATGCTTCATGTGGGTCCATCTGCTTCTGTTGTCATGCAAGGGCTGGAGAAATGGGACTGCTCTGCAGTGGAGTGCTTCACCTCAGGCTGTAATGCAGTGATCAAGTAAGCAGCTGCCACTCCTGCTCATGAGGCTGATGACAACGTCCAAGGGCTGCATCTTGACGTTGACCTTGTAGGCAGGCAGGACATGGAATGCTGGGGTGCCAAAGTTGTACAGGATTGACGGTGTCTCGTCCTTGGTTTCTTGATGGACGCACGGATGGAAATTTTTGAAGAGCGCGGCGGTTGTGTACCATGGGTGGAGGAGGGTTGTTGTCCTGTGCTCACCATGGATTGACGCGACCCAATCCATTCCGATTTTTCGCGTCTTGAAGGCCTCTTGATAGGCCTGGTGGATCGTCTTGAGCTTGCAGCAGAAGAGCTCTGTGTGCTTCTTGATCCACTTGAGGAGGGGGATGGTGTTATCCATGTGGCTCAAGGTCTCTGCTGTGAAGGTCAGATCCCTGTCGCCAGTTGTGTGCCAGACGCCCAGGTGACGAGTGTCAAAGTCCCTGGCATTGCCACCCTTTGCCTTTTTCTTGGCCCCCTTCTTCCTTGCCCGCTTCTCCTTTTCCTCCTTGTCCTTCCTAAGTACGTCCCTGTAGGCCTGCTCTAGCCTCCTACCCTCCTCCTTGCTCTGCTGGGCCATCCTCAACTTGTACCCTGATTCCTGTCCCAGCCTCTGCAAGATCACCTCCCCAGAACGCTCATCCACAAGGGTAAGATTCTTCTTGCTGTCCCCTCCTACCTCCTCAATTGTGCCCCTCGCTTTCTTCCCAACCTGTATCTCCTTTCCTCTCCTCCTTTCCTCCTCCTCTTCCTTTGCCCTTTTCCTCCATTGCTTTTGAACATCCGCCCTCCTCCTCTTTTCTTCCCTACCCTCCTTTCCCTGTTCTTTCCTGCCATCCCTCGTCCTTTTGCCCATAGTTTCCAACCCTAATTTACAAGATTGGGCCACGGCCAGGAGTGGGCTCACACAAGGGTGGGGTGAGGTAGGAGCGGGCTCATGGATGTCCAGAGGGCTGCCTGGGCTTACACAAGGGTGGCTGCCAGGTGCTTGGAGGACTGGCAGATCTCCTGTGGGCCGCAAGGGTGGATGAAGTGAGAGGCCGCAAGGGGGCTTGAGGGTGCTGTGAGGGTGGCTGGCCGGTGCTTGGAGGGCTGGCAGCTCTCTGGAGGGCCAAAAGGGCGGTTGCAAGGGGCCGCAAGGGATCGCAAGGGGGCTTGAGGGTGGCGCAAGGGTGGTGGCAAGGGGCTTGGTGCCGCGCGGTCTCGGTTCCGACCGTGCTGCGCGCGCTTCCCTTTTTCCCTGCCAGCAGCTTCCCTCCTTTTCTCCATCCAACATCCATCTCCTCACTCACTTCACTGCCCGTGCCGCTGACACCAGCACACCTGGAGAGCTGGCGGCTGTGCCGAAGGCAGTGAGGGTGGTGCAAAGGTTGTCTGGGGCTGGGTGGCAAGGCAATGAGAGTGGCAGTGAGGTGTGATTTGATTGTCAGGCAGAAGTAAAGGTGTTCACGGCAATGTTCAAGAGGCGGAGGGCAGGTAGAGTAGCTGGAGAAGGGAGAAAAGGGGGGGGGGGGGTCGAAAA